TTCGTTCCGCTATTTCATTATGGGAGCAAAACGTGTGAATTTGATTTTAAATATTTTCAAAACGTTTATACTGCATTCGGCACATAATATTTAAAAAATACTTGTATTAAAATGAAACGAAATGTTTCGTATATCTGGTAGAAAAATATTATGAAAACACATGGAGGTAATATCATGTAAATATTATAAAGANATATATAAAATATAGGAGAAATATTTTCTGTTACTAGGGCACCGTCTAGAGCCGATCGATCGATCGATAAACTAATTATCGACGCGGCGGACAAAGTGGAGCCGCATAATTCGTCGGTCCTCTTCTTCCTCGGGAGAAAAATCTCTCCCAGGCGAGAGAGAAAGAGAGATTCGACCTTCCGCACGGGTTCTCCGTGCAGGTGAGTTCCAAAAAAGGAGGAGCGAAAGGTGGCCGCGAACCGAGCGGAGGGGAATCCTCTGGATGTTACGCGGAGAGTTCGAGGCAGTCGTTAGTATGCTAATGAGCAGAGCCGCTCGTCCGTGGCTGCGAGGAGCGTCCGCTAAATTATTTAAAATATTCCCGAATGTCGTTCTAATTGGTGCTAGAGTCACGTGTGCGACCCGACCGGTGGTCGTCGTCCATCCCGGGGACTCTAAGAGCTTGTGCTTTCGTCTCTAACTACCAGCCTCCCTGGTCCTTCACGTCCGAAATGGACCATGCTCTACGGTGATCTCTAACGAGGAGATACCTCGACCTCGATACCCCATCAGGCCCATCAAACTACGGGGACACTAAAGATCTAATCAGCCGTAGAAACTCGGCATGAAAAAGTCGAGACGGGACTCTTTTCTGAAATCCCTTAACACGGTTCGAGATTAGTCTCTTAACGAGATGGTGCCCCTCAATTCCCGACTTTCCTCTTAAATTAATTGTCTTAGAGGTGTCTCTGCAGATCTTTCGAATTACCTAAGGTGGTATTACGCTTTAATGCATGTCAGTTCGTTTTGCCGTTTGCAACAAAATTTTCTTTTAAGGGTATTGGACCAAACTCTCCGAAACTTTGTCACATGACTGGTGATCATCTAAGAATTGTCCTGACACATTCAAAATTTGGATTTTTGGAAAACATTTCTTAACTTAACCCGGACCAGAACCAAAATGACGTCGAGCTCTCATATTTCGATCAATATACAATTGGAGAGGCAATATACAATCGAAGGCTTTGATATAAGAAACTAAAGGGTCAGGACAATTTTACGACAATTTAGAACACTCTGGTAATTGATAAACTCGCATTTTTTTTCTCCTTTATCGACGTCGATCAAGTTCCTCGACGTCTTTCACTTCACCTTAATCGTTTCAAGTATCAGGAAACGGGAGGAGATATTCCTCCCGATTCAGATTTGTATAATGGCGGACATGAATGCCTCCCCTGCAGATACGGCATCGCCTGTGCAGGATGAGAGGGCATCGATGTCTCTCAGTGTACAATGGCGGACATGAATGCCTCCCCTGCAGATACGGCATCGCCTGTGCAGGATGGGAGGGCATTGATGTCTCCCAGTGTAGACTCCAGAAGTATTATCAGTTTTGGGGGACAAGGCTCACGGATTGCACGGCTTTATCGGAACAATGCAGGACTCGAAAGCCTAGGATATCTTAGGCAGCTCTGATTTCGAACTTCCGGTCGGTTTAATTCCTTATTTTATTTTGTTAAGCCCTTCCTCCAGGCATTATCCTGCGCACCCTTCTAGTAGCTTGATTGCATCTCACCTATCGACTTATTAAAAAAAAAAGAAAAATGTACAAATGGACAAGAACATTGTATAACCCTACCACCAACGCGTCTCCCACTTGTATAGTTTTGATTCAAACCTCAATCAACAAGAAATAAAACGTCAATCCCGAAATTCAGATATCGTCAGAATCATTCACGGGATCATCGCGATCGTCAGAATAATTCAGAATAATTAAGAATAATTCTTTAATCCTTCCCGAACTCCCGCAACAGCAATAGTAAAAAGGAACAAGAATTATCGCATCGTGTAAATTGATCGAGTAGAAGGTAATTTCTATAGTAAGTTGAACGACAAACGGCAAGGATAAATATCCTTGCATCTCGAAACGCACTCTTAAACGGTATGTTACAACAAATAAGCGCATTACAGTTCCGGTGCACGATTCCCGCAAATCGTCCCGACGTTTCGAGAGCCTCTTTCCCGGAGTCGGTTCCATTTCCTCGTCCAGTAAGCTGGAGGAAAGTTATCTCCGAAGAAGGCACTGCGGGAGAGAGAACCGACTTTCTCAGGATCCCGCAAACAGGATTAAAATACATAAGCAAAACGTCACCGGTGGCGTGCGCGGACTCGATAATCAGGAGTAATAATGCCGATACCTCGAGGATAAGAGCAGAGGGCCCAGAGAGAAGGACTGCCTCAGGACGTCCATATTTATTGCTGGTCCAGGTGTCCCCATGTTCCCCGGGTCCCTAATTTACCTAAACCGCGTTATCTCGAGCCTTCAGGAAACGGTCGAACTGTCGCCCCGTTGTTGCCCTAATGAGGTCCAATTACTATCGCATGGTCCGGGACCGATATTCCGCCATGTACCATATTAGTGTCCCAAGAGCCAAGGGTCAACACCCCATCGACTGGAAGAGGCATGGTCGACTCTTAACGAGACTCCGAGGAGTCGATTCTCGTGTCCCTTCCGCCCGTCCTAGCGACGACTCTATCGATAAGATCCCGATAGATCGATTCCCTCCCCCCCCAAATTTTTAGAGATACATCTTCGGACACGCACCCAACGACAAGGACCCCTGACCAATGGAAATGTGATGAATCTTTGACTCTGGAGTTCATTCTCACCCTGACCATGTTCATTAGATCGACGGACAGGACATCTAGTTTCCTCTTCCCCCAAAATGACTTACGCGTCGTTATATGAAAATGTTAATTTTCATTTTTTAACTGGATTTAAGTTAAATTAAGTTCCTCAGATGGGCGATCTGGTCCAGCTGAGTTTGTGGTGGAGGTTCCGCTAGACCCATGAGTTAACCCTTTCTTTATACGAATGAAGACTTGTCATGGGAATCGGCTCTCAAATAAGGAAATCGCTTTCACTGGCGTTCAATTGATTAGACTCTCGGCCTCGCCATATCAGCATTTTCTTCCTCAAATTGTTCATCGAAATATGCAAATCGAGCCCTGATCCAAGAACGAGACTAGCCATCCGGACATTTCATTTTTATTGTTTATGGCAATCGCGCTATTGGAATTTAATTCGTAAGGCAAGGGATTAATCGGGGTTAAACGTGAACAAAACGTGGGAGAGACGTGATACGTCAATCGGGCCAAACAATACGTATGAGAGACGCGTAAGACTTTGTACGTTCAGCGAAACCGTGAAATGGCCCGATGTATGACCGACATTTTTATTGTTTATGGCAATCGCGCTATTGGAATTGAAATCGTAAGGCGAGGGATTAATCGATACCGGCCAGGTGTTTCTAAGATCGTATACACCGGTCTAATGCGAATCCGGCCCCGATCTGGAAACGAAGACGGGCCGGATGCCACACAAGAAGGCAACAATGGCGGCCCGCGATTGCGACGGCGAGTCGATATAAGAGGACGATCCGAGATAATCGATTCTTCGCGCTCGATTCTCCCGTCCACTTATGGATTCGAGACGGGGTGGGACTTTTTTCGACCTATCGCACCTCCACCTAGACGTCCAGCGGCTACCCCGTCGAGCGTGGCCGATTGGTCCCGCCTTATTAACTCTCGCGAGCGAGACTGTTTCCGGCGAAACTGGAGTAACCCTTTGAACACCCTGCCCTTCAATCCAAAGAGTCCGATTTAATAAAACCTGCCTGCAGAAACCATCTGCTCCGAGGCCGAAGATGTCTTCGTCCTCCCCGATCGGATAAAGGTTATGCGATTGTCAGAATAATTCATAATAATTCATAATAATTTATAACAATTCAGAATAATTCTCTAATCCTTCCCGAACTCCCGCAACAGCAATGGTACAATGGCGGACATGAATGCCTCCCCTGCAGATACGGCATCGCCTATGCAGGATGGGAGGGCATTGATGTCTCCCAGTGTACAAAAGGTACACGAATTATCGTGACTTATTTATTTGAAAGGGGATGAGATGGGTGACTTTAAACGCCATGTCAAATGATATTTCATTGTCTCGGGTCTTCAAGGTCTCGGTCCGTTAGATTAAGAACACGTTGAACGGTTTCGAGGGGATCATTAAGGAGCGACGCAGCATCTCCGGACCACCGAGGGCCTCGTACCTCTTTTTGAGGTTAATTTTCACGTACCGTAAGGCGTCGCGTCCCCCCGACGGTTTCAGCGAACCGATTAGTCCGCATCTTCCCGGAATACTTAATTAATTGGCGGCTTAACGCCCGCGATAAACTCGAGCGAAGTGCAAGGTGGGCTTTTATCGAACCTGTCCGCCCGTTCCCCTCCATATTGCCGCCTCCTCCTCCTCGGAAAAATTTATAGCCAAGAATGGCGAGAACCCGGGGAGCGTAATTCCGGACAATCCGAGGCCTTACATCAAGAGCGAACAGCGTCGCGACGTCGTGTTCCTCCTTTTTTCCCGGCCCCTCCGAAAATAAATGCTCCCAAAACGAAACGGAGCCGCCCACCTTAATCGTATCACGATAAGAGCTCACGCGGATTACAGCCTCGGACATGAGCCGGTAATTAAAGAGACGTGGAAGAATTGAATATTAAACATTTACAGGTGGTGATTTTTTATCCTGATTACGAGATAATAGAGAATCTGCTATCGAGGGATTACACGCCGTGTGCGTCAGGTTAATGTTAAATGAGATCTCTGTGCGTGGAACTTTGCGTATAATGCATAACGACGGGTGAGAACACATTTTTATCCGGATAGCTCGTATAATTTGTACCAGTTTCTTTTCTTTTTTTTTTTTTTTTCTGTACTCGAGAGCAGGTTATCTACTCCTCTCCTGTACTCGTATCTTCTCCTTTCTTACCTTGCAACCCTCACACGTGAACGCTCCGAAATGGAAACCAGCCGCCGGCTCGCCGCAGACCTTGCACTGTTGGTTCATCTGCAATTACAGAAATTACATTATTCGTCAGGAGTGCTCAAAGTCTCATGCGGAATCATCCTTGAAGGTGGATGAGAACGAGGATGCAGAATGAGAAAGGGTTAAGGGGCACGGAAGGGAAAGAAAGGAAATCCAAGAGGGAGGAACCGGTTCTCTATGTTCGGATTGGTTTTTACTCTCGTAGAAGACGTTTTAGAGAGTCGAACTCAATTCCGAGGGCGACCCTGACTTGGCACTTGGAAGCATTGAAATTGGATATTAATAACGACGTCGTTATGATTATTTAAATATATTAACATTGATATCCATCTCCTCGCCTCCTCCAGATATGATGCATTGTCAGGCATTTTATTTAAATATATTTTAACTGCAGTTTACCCGATCATTAAGTTACACCCTGGGTTCTATTAAACTGAATCTTTCAAACCCACTCGCCATGAGAATTTATTCGTACAATGACTTGAGAAAAGATCATACTTTTGCAGAGAGCTCTTTGATGCGGTTCAGGGTAAAATGTCCGCCCGTGAATAACGTAGAACTGAAATTTCTATACCTGCATTAGGCGGCTCCGCGTTCGAATCGTCGCCGTTTTAACGAGAAACCGAAAAGAACTTGTTTCTGACGTCAGCCTCCCATAAATCAGCACTATCTTACCGACCGAGCCATCTGCTGTTGTCAGGCTGGCACGATTCAGGAGAGTACGCTTCTCTGGACGCTCCACGGAATAAAATTAGAACGAACGCGATCTTCGATAAGCAGGAGGTCTTTACACGTGGAGGAGTGACGTAATTGGCTAGTATTAATGCCGGAGAAATTTCTTTTTCTAGGAGACAAAGCGCTAATGCACCGGAGACTCTTCGGAGACTTCAACGCGTGGCGAACTGCAAAGGCGAGATCGATGCTCAGGCCATATGGAATTATTTCATTAAATGTAAAATCAAGTCATTATAAAAGGACTTGAACCGTTTAGGCTAGTATTAATTCCGGAGAAATTTCATTTTCTAGGAGACAAAGCGCTAATGCACCGGAGACTCTTCGGAGACTTCAACGCGTGGCGAACTGCAAAGGCGAGATCGATGCTCAGGCCATATGGAATTATTTCATTAAATTTAAAATCAAGGCATTATAAAAGGACTTGAACCATTTATAATTATTAATTGACGTTTCTTTGTTAATCTGAGTGGAAAGGAAAATTAATTTATCCCATAAAAATTGAAAATGATTTCCCTGAACGTTGTATAGGAGGCGAAACGGAACTCTCGCGTACGTGCGCCGATTCCACCGTCTCTTTTTCTTTTTCGGTAATTATACGAGAAGTTGTCAAGTGAAATTACTTGCGTTTGACATCTGGAGTTATTGCCATGACGTAAGTGCATTGGTTTTCCGTTGTTTCATGCTCCGATTACCGCCGAACGTGTGTGGCACACGAACGAGACAGGGATCGGACAAAGGTCTCACCTCGCACTTTCATACGCGATATTAAGTCGAATTAATAATTCTCTGAACATGCCCGATCGCACCTTACCTTTCGCGTCGTTAATGGGGTAATAAATGTTGTCATTAACACTTTTAATTAAGAGTAATCTCGAAAGATGCGAGATCGTCCGATGGCATCCCTATCTCGCGGCGCCTCCGACATTTTACCAGAGTTTAACGGCGGTTATGCGAAGCGTGTAAACATACTAGGAATACCACTAGGTTAAAGTACATCATTAATAATGCCAGAACAGACCCTAGTGGCAGAAAATATTTGTCCTATATTTTCTATATATTTAACGAATATCCTACATTTTCTTAATATTTACCAGACATTTGAAATATTTGCCGAACGTTTACTTTATAATATTATCTCTATAATATTTATATAATATTACCTCCATGTGTTTTCATAAAAATCTACAAGAAATCTTGAAAAACCCGTCGCTTGAGATATTTAGCAAAGATTACAAAGAAATAGTTAGAAATTATTCTATGCCACTAGGGGAACTGACTGTACCCCCTTTTAATTCACCGATTTTCATTATTTGCAATGACAATTGCTTGGACAAATCTGCCCGAAGAATTACTTTAATTGGCACTTGGATAATTATCTAATCCCTGTACCCTCTTATCCGATGGACGTTTCTATCGGAATGTGGATCTGGAGCTTCTGGCAAGGAAGGAATCTGACGAAATTATTAAAAGGACTAAAAGGAAACCCCAGAAAGACAGGAGACAAAAAATCCATATCTGTGTTCGGAGGTCCTGACGAGTTTCCGCGTTTTTTCTCGCATCGCCGCCATATCTTAACGAGGGTATTTTAACGAGAAGTCGCGATGCCGGTAATTGGGGCTCAGGACGCGACCTCGTAACGACACGATGTTCACATTTAAGTATTTATAATTGTCCCGTATAATTACCGCTCGAATCCGAGCCTCCAGGAGCTCGTTAAACTCCTTTTCTTCTCTCAGAATCCTTATTTACACGCAACAAGCACATATCAACTTACAAAGATGAGGACCACGTGCCCAAACATTATCTCCGAATTTTCGCACAATGCAAAAATAAGCGAAAAAAATTATCTGCGATTAGAAAAAAAAAATTAAATTCTGCTCGCTCTAATTTTTACGTTTATCTATACATTTTTAATAATCAAGAAACGAATTTTATCGATGCACGTGCGAGTGGTGGACATGTGACGTTTTTAAGTGACATCGGTAAGCTTCATTAATTAGACTATGATCTCTAAATGCGATGTGATTTACTGAAATCCCATTAAGGTGTACTGTAAATAAAGCAGCTGGTCTCCTTGCAATTTAAACCTGATATACACAATTTATTGTGCCGGGTATAAGAGCAAGGCACAGAAAATTGCTTAGTGAGATAATGTTATTATCGTCGATCCGTAGCGAACACGGTGGAATAGCGTAAGGTAATTTGGCGATCGCGTGAGGTATCGGCTAACAATTTTTCACGTAATCCCAAGGTGGGGGAGAAAAAAAGGAAATTACGGGCCGAGCGGTATAGAAAAAGGGGAAATCGCCATCAATAATCCAGTGACAAACTCGCAAAACCACCTCGGAGAATCGTCTCGGGTTAGAGGTTGTCGCTAAATCGTCCACGTCACGATACCCGCAATTGGAAATAAGATCGACGCAATTGCCCCCAGCATATTGATCTCAGGAATAAACCTAACATCCCGGTATAATCCCGGCATTTCTCCGTCGCCATAAAAAATAGTCACTTTAGGGATGCACCAGCAAGGAAGAAAAATTTTCTCGACCATCTAGGCTTTATTAAATGGCGCTAAACCACTCTTTCTCAGGGTCCACCATAAAAACTAGTCATTTTAGAGACGCACCAGCAAGCAAGACAAATTTTCTCGACCATCCAGACTTTATTAAATGGTGCTAAACCACATTTTCTCAGGGTGCACCATGAAAACTAGTCATTTTAGAGACGCATCAGCAAGAAATAAAAATTTCCCCGACCATCCAGGTTTTACTAAACGGCGCTAAACCACTCTTTCTCAGGGTGTACCATTAAAAATAGTCACTTTAGGGACGCACCAGTAAGCAAGAAAATTTCCCCGACCATCCAGGTTTTACTAAACGGCGCTAAACCACTTTTTCTCAGGGTCCACCACGAAAACTAGTCATTTCAGAGACGCACCAGCAAGAAATAAAAATTCCCCGACTATCCAGGTTTTACTAAACGGCGCTAAACCACTTTTCTCAGGGTCCACCATGAAAACTAGTCATTTCAAGGACGCACCAGCAAGAAATAAAAATTTCCCCGACCATCTAGGTTTTACTAAACGGCGCTAAACCACTTTTGTCGGGGTCCACTGGTCCAGATCCGAAAGTTAACGTCCAAGCTAAACGAGTTGTTAAAAGCCAAACGAGGAAGTCAAATTTGCCGGGATATCTCGGTCCCTACCCCGGCGAGAGATTTCACGAAGACGTTACACATTTAGCACCCTCGAAAGTCAGTCGAAGCAATTATTCGGTGACGACCGACCTCACCGACAAAGCCCCATCCTGACCCAGTCCACCTTTTCCATCCTGGAGGAAGATAAACGCCTCTTACCCCAGTTTCCATAAGCAGAGCGTCAATATTTGCCGACACTTGTACGTTAATGAAGTCGATCGACTCGGCGGTCTCTCTTTGGGCCCCTGCTCCGAATATCGACTTACTCGGTCACCAGAAGGGGAACCAACCTGACGAGGTTCCGACCTTAGACGAGCCCCGGGTCCTGGTGCCTACGTGTGTCTCTTCGGGGCTACCCTGAAAGGCAGCCCCGCTACGGCGCGTTTACGCGCCATTAAACCCCGCTCTCTTGACGTTTATCCCCTTTATCATTTTTTTTATGCCACACGTCACTCTCTTTTCATCTCCTCGACCCTCCGCCGTCGGCCCCGGTGCCCTCCTTCGCTTCTCCGAGTTTTTTACAATGACCCTTCTCGAGATGAGCGCACATGGCCGGCGTCAGATCTCAACAGATCTCAATAGATGTTTGGACGTGATCCGATCATACGTAAATTGTAAAAATCATACATGTAATGGATCTTACGCGTGAATTTCGTTCGGTTTTCAAGTTTAGATGTTGGAATCTAGAGATGACGTTCCTTGGATGATCCTAGATCTTTCTATCTAAAGGAACTTCAAGTACTTTGCGACGTCTCTTGATAGAGCAGCTCCAACTCGCCAGTCAATTTGCGTAACTTCACATCCAAAACCGTGTACATAATGGCAAGGGCTCTCTTAAGTTCTACATGCACTTGTCATTTATTTTATATTACTATTAGACCGTTAAAAAAGGCGGTAAAGTCTGCAGCGACGACCAACAGAAGGAAATTTGGAAAACGGTCGGAACCGAGGAGTCACGTTCAGACCTCGTTTGACGTCCCTTCTCACCGTGGCCCTTGTGAATTCGACAATTGAAAAGTATTTTGTAGGACGGACCACCGAGACCCTGGGTCCCATGGGTCCCTAGGGTCCCTAGGTCCCTCTCCTGGTCC